AGGTTACCCCATGTATAATATAAATACTTGGCACTAAGTTTGTGATAGCTTATAATTAATGATTCCAATTAGGATGACGTATGCTTAATTTTAATTATCAGTGAATCAAGTAATTAGTGGACTTAATTTAAACTAATTTTCATGGAAGGCCGTTATAAATTATTATTTTATATGTTTAACTTTTCGACTTTTAAGAATCTTCAATGGACATCTTATGTTTGGCCACTTGTCTTAAAATTAAGATGTCATCGATAATTAATTAGGTGCTTAATTATCATTAATCTTTCCCCCCTAAAATGGCTTATGGCTAAATAGTCAAATTTTATAATTATAAATAATAGAATAAACAAGCGACAAGAATCCTCTTTACATTAGTTAATGTTTCAAATAACTAATCCAACCAAAAATAACGTCATATATCTTCTGTTCTTCTTTATCTTTTTTTTTTTCTAAGAAAAATCATTAACGACATTATAGGATTATATTTTTTAATTTAAAGATAAAATTATTCGAAATGTAATATTTTTTGTCCATTGTTTCGTTATTTGAACAAAAATTTCCTCACCGTTTGTCAGGTAATAACTCAATAATGTCTTCCATCAAATAAATAAATCAAAAATATTTTTTTTACGAACAATTCATCTAAAATAAGAGCAAAAAATCAATATAACAATTCATCTAAAATAAGAGCAAAAAATTAATTATATTGAAGCTCAATAAATTTATATTTGTATCGCATAAGGTCATTGATCGAATTAAGCCAAATGATTAAAGAATAATTTGTTACTTAGGTATCAAGAAATTGAGACTCGGAAAATTGTTTATGGCCTTTATCCATTTGATAAGCTGAAGGGGCACCAACAATAATATTTTTTATAATGTTTATATTATTTTAATAAATCAATGTTTGATGTTCATTTGACATAATAAATCTGTAAATATAATATTGTAATAATAATATAATAACCCTTGATTCTTGTCTGTCACCACGTCATTCAAGTTGCAACCCCTGTGATTTTCGAATTAATGTCTGATTCAATAAAAATAAAATTGATTAAATATTTTAACACAATTTTTTTTTATTTCCGATTGGTGTAGCATATTTTATTAGAGGCTCGATTAATTCGGATTTTGTATTAAAAGTTTGAGAGTAACATTAACTCTATCAAAAAATAGATACGTAAACAAGGATAGACCACATAATTTTATACTGATCAGTTTTAACCTAAAAAATCACTTGAATACCATTGTTACTCTATCAATATAACTTTAAATCAAATTAACGATAGTCCTAAAATAAACAGATAAAAATTACTATATTCAAACGATTTTTATTACTCTTTAATTTTAACTTTAACACTTTAGTTTATCACTATTTTACTTTTGTTGTAAGACCACCAACCCTCAAACAATTGTGACCTCACCTTAGCCGCCACAATATTTTTTATATAAATAATTAAAGTTAAATATTTGTGTACCTAGGTTTATTTTAGAACTCAAGTTGATTAATCACACGTTTAAAATCAAGCAACAAATTCAATTCCAAAAACAAAAAATAAATCAAGATTCAAGATGTATATATGAGCTCGAATAATTAATCGTTTGAACTAATTGAACTCAAAACCATAGTTTGTATCATAACTATACGTATTTATGCTAATAATTTTTTGTTGTATGGGCTAAGTTTGTGAATTTTAGATCGAAAAGTGAAGCATACAACATTTCACAGTAATATTTTACGTCCAAATTAATATCACCTTACAAAATAAAATGTTCATTCTTATCATTTATAAAGAGATTGCACATTAGCTTATGGAACTCAATAGAGTTAATCATTTGAAATTAATATTTTTGAGGCAAAGTATTGTTCTTTTCTTGTATAAATTGAAGGAAACATTAAAAGTATGAGAAACGAGTCTCGACGTGTCTTGACGTATTTGATAAAATTGATGTTATGTGATCAGGATTGTCAAAAGTTAGAGTTGTGGAAATAGCCTCTCCAGAAATGTTGAGTAAGACTGTGTACAATAGACATATGTGGTCTGAACTTTCCTTGAATCTGACGCATAACGAGAGTTTAGTGCATTGACAGTCAAAAGTTAGACTATGAAAACAGCCTCTCACAGAAATATTGAGTAAGACTGTGTATAATATTTAATGTTCGATGAGTTCAATATTAAAGAATTTCAAAAGAAATCATTTTATTTATCAATCATTAACATTGCCCACCTTTGATCTTGGTATGACATTAGTTGTTAATCTAATAATACAGGTTCGAGTTTCCTCTTCTCAATTTCAATTTCATTCAACAATTTAAGTTATTGTCTTATTCAAATGTTATTTCCTTCTTTTATTTTTCTAGTAATTCATTTTCGAATTTCCTCTTCACAATTCATAGTTTCTTTTGTAATATATAAAATTAATTAATGCCAAAGTCCATTTTCCCCTTCTCAAATGGCAAAAATTTGTTTTATTTTTCTTCATTATATTGCTCGTGATCCATCTTCCTCTTCTCAAGAGAAAATATTCCCCTTTATAGTGACAAGAAAATTAATTTAAATTATATTGAAATGGTAAAATAATTACATGTTGTTAATAAAAAAAAAATATAAACTAATTTTCTTATGTGCATTATATTGGCATCATGCATGGCATGCATATTTGTAAATTAAATAATTATTTGTAACGAGTAATTGGTATTTACATTGAATCATATTAACTTAATAATGATCAAATGGTTTAATGAAGTATAAATGTATAATTAATTTAGCTCAATATATCATAATTATGTACAACAAGCAACATAAATGCAATTCGTCGAACTAATGTTTTATTTTTAGATAAATAAATTTTAAGAAAAATCAAATCTAATTTTCATATTTATGTACAACAAGCAACATAAATGTCATATCATCGAATCAATGTTTCTACCAGTGGTAAGTACGCCTCCATTTTTAATCAGAGGTTTTGAATTGAAGCCTGTAATCACCTTCGATATGGAGATCAGAGTTTTACCTCCCAAAGTGAAATTTCCTGTGACGAATTCAAATTAGTTGAACTCCAACATGGATACCCTATACTGGACGGAAAACCAACAATTTTTTTTCTTCTAAAATAAAATAATAGTATAGGATAAAACTACATCAATCAACTTCAAATCCTGACCCTTTATATAAGAGATGAACAGTCAGATTTCCTTTTGAAAACCTCAATAATGTTGAAAGCTAATGCCCAACTGCCCAAGATATATAGTTCTCTTTAAATCATTTGACATTGGTAATACATTATTCCGATTAATTTATATTCGTGTTAGCCGTTATGTAGAGATTCATTTAAAAAGAAATATTCTTTTACCAAAAGTTATTTTCATTTTGAGAATTCAAACCCAAATATTTAAATAAAAGTAGAAGAATCACATTCATTCCGTCATTTTTTTGTGATGTTCGCTGTTCAAGATATTTGAGTTCGAGGAATGACAAAGGTAACGTTTAGGATGTGAGTTCAACAAACTAATAACTTTGACTTAACATTTATAAAATTTAAATTCTAAATTCAAGAATGATGAGTTATGATCCATGCAACATAAAAATTGAATAAAAGAAATAGAGAGTTCATGACTTTAAAGATTTTCTATCAATGTATGTATGCATTAACTCACTATGGGGCACTATTTTTTTGTCATTTCATTTTCCTCAATTACTAGTCATATAATTGCATTCTAGACTTTGTAAAATTATCAAAAATTAATTAAGAAAATCAATCAACTTCAACTGGCCCTTAACTTTTGCTTGAATTAATAAGAGTAATAAAATTTGAAAGAGCGGGGCTAAGTTAACAGGGCCAAGTGGCATATCCATAAACAATATTTATGCTCGTGTCTCCTCCTTGTACCAGTTAATGCTGGGCCAACATTTGATTATTAATACCATGAAGTTTCATTGTTCCATACAGCTTCGAGGTTCTCATCGATCAATTCAAAAAAAATTTAACGTTGAGTTTGCTTATACATTATCATTGACTAATGAGTAGGGTGTGGACAAATTTTTTTAATGATACCACAACAATGTATTTATACTCTTATAGTATCATGACTAATTAATAGGGTGTGAACAAGAAACCTTAATAATACCACAACAATATATAATCTCAATTAAGTGAAATTATCAGTCTTACTGATACCACAACATTATATATAGACTGATTTAATATTAGTTAAGCGAAATTTCCAGTTTTAATGATACCACAACAGTGTGGATATATATATATATATCGATTTAGTATCAGTTAAGTGAATTATTAGTTGGGGCATTTTTTGTAATTGTTTAGTGAGGTATCAGTGTAAGGGATATATGTTTGTAATTAATTTGCATTTATGAAGTATTTGCTTAGTTTCCCCGAATATGATATGCAGGTTCAATGGATTTATGTCCTTGTTATGAACGTAGCAGCCCATTTATTTTGCCTGTCCTTTATGGCTTAGGTTACCTTTCTGGGTCCAATGGCCCATTTGGAACTCGTAATAATGGGCCTTGGATTCTTAAGGACATTTTTCACAAATGGCCTATATGTTGAATTTCTTGTATTTAGTTCTCATCATTTGTTCTTGTATTGTGTATATAAATCTATCATTAAGAGCATGATTGTTTCTTGAGTGATATATTACTCCCTCGTCTCAATTTATGTGGCATACTTCGTCGAAGGGGAATGCCACATTTCTATATTTAAAATTTCGAACAAGTGCAAGTTTAAGTGTCATTTTACATGCTCACGGCAGAACCATAAATAAATAAATAGAATAGTTGACGGGTGCTGGAATTGGCCCAAAAAGGCCTAAACTACCAACAACAATAACATACTCAACGTAATTCCACAAACGAGGTCTGGAAAGAGTGATGTATACACAGACTTCATTCCTACCTTGTGAAGGCACAAAGATTGGAATCCAATAGAACCTCAGGTAAAAGGGCCAAAACTGCCCTAAGTAAGAAAATACAAACAAATTTACACATGAAATTCCATTTTTACAAGAGCTGGCATCAAATTTTACATTTACTGTATGTTCCAAAATTAGTACAACACAGCACAAGTAAGCAGCCATCATGCCAAGGACCAACTGATGCAACACAAGTCATCTCATTTTTTTTCCTCCTAAGATATAACATCTTGCAAAAAAAAGAAAATTCAAATACATAGATGGTAAAACAACAATACTACTAGGTAGTGGTAACAAAGGGAAGCTATGTCGCTGGGATTCTCCAAAAATTGATGTTGCACCAATGTCGAATTCTCCAAAACTGCATTACTTTTGAAAGATCCAACACGCTTCCAATGACATTTTTGAAGGATTCGAGCAACATAGAAGGGGAAGTTATTAACTTTAACCAAGTTAAATTCCCAACTGGTTTTGCACTTCTAAGATAGTCTCAGCAGAGTTCCTAAGTTGCTGAATTTCCTCATCAGTAAGATGCACATTAGTCACACCTAAAACTCCACTTCTACCAAGCTGTGCAGGCAAGCTCAAGAAAACATCGCCGCCATCAATACCATAGAACCCCTTCACAAGGATTGAGACGGGGTGAATCCTTCTCTGATCTCGAATAATTGAAAAAGCCAAGTTAGCCACAGAGTATCCGATTGCCCACGATGTGTAGCCTTTGAGATTGATCACTTCATATGCACTCTGCACAACTTGTTTGTGGATTTTTTCCAATGTATCCTTCTCAAACGCAATTTGTTGCCTCTCCAGAAAGCTAAGAACCGGAATCCCTCCAACGCTAATACTAGACCACAGTGCCACAGAGCTGTCACCATGCTCACCTACAATGTATGCCTAGTATACACAAAAGTTCATTTTTCATTATATTGAAATATTTCCTGTATACCAAAAAGTAGAGAATCAACAACATGAATGATAAACAATCTTTTAAGTTCAATACAAACATATTATAAGCCATCAAAAACTAATGATCAGACAACAGAAAATAGAGTTGAATACCAGTATATAGCTCAAATATACGCAATAAGTCGCAATCAAGTACTGAGGATTAGGGCTGATTACTGGACGGATGATTATGCTTAAAAGTTTGGTTTATTGGATATCGATTTTTAAATATACTAATCCCCAGCCTAAGTTATTGGTTGGTTTGATATTGGATTAGTAATTAATGGACGGTTATCAGACTGTGTATTGGCTCAATCATTTCATGCTCCCTTCTTTCACTTTCACTCACCAACATATTGATCTTCAATCAAACATAACAATTTTTTTAAATCTACTTAAACTGGTAATTTTGTAATTATAAATCATACTGAGAAATAAATGAAAGTTTAAATTTGAGGGTGGGTGCACATAATCATTCTTTTAACAAATATATTTATGATAAAAATGTAATTAAAATAATTCTTAACGGTTTAGCCAGTAAAAAAATTGAGTAATTCGCTCCGCACCGATAAACCGTTAACTAAAATTTATCATTCATTAACCCAATATCAATTAGCCAATTTTGCGATTAGCTTATCTGCTACGGTTCGATTTTGAACCACCATAATTTCAGGATACTGATGTCAAATGTTAGTAACTGTTACGGTTACGGTTCCTCTTCTATATGCAAATTAAACAAGTAAAATATAATTTTTTTTACTTCCCCTTTTTGAAATTAGCTTAAGAAGAGAAAAAACAAACTCGGTGATACAATTTGTATGAATACTGTCTATGTCTATGGTTAGGAACAACACTTCAAATGCTAAGGGACCAACATCATAATGACAAATTGAATCCTGTTCTGTCCCCACTGAACTTTAAACTGGGTTTATCGGAAATAGTTGCTCTACCCGACAAAAATAGAGGTAAGCTCTGCGAACATTTTAACCTCTTCATACCTCACTAATGGGATTATACTGAGTATATTGTTATTGTATGTACATATCTTTTTTATACGAAACAAATCAAACAATTTCCTATTTGGTTATAAATTTTTCAAATTATACTTGGATTTTATGTAATATAAATGATGTATAGTTTCTGTTAATCTTAAATTTATAGATTGTTTATCTCGTACTATGTAACCAGGAGTAATTAAATGAAAATCACAACAATTAACATAAACATGATCACATTCAAAAGTGGACCCAAAGATCAGAAAGACAAAAGGAAACCCGATACACTAAGCTGCCACTATGCATGAGTCCAGAGAAGGGCCAAACCACAAGTGTGTCGTGTCTGTTTTATGCAACTTAACTTACATTCATTTCCACTGCTGAAACTCGCGACCTCAATAATCACATGGTATCAGTTATTCAAAAAGACAAATTTAAACGAAATACGAAAATGATGAACTCACCTGCACATCCTGGGCATTAACATCAAGGTGATCGGCAATCAAAAACCGAAACCTGGACGAATCCAAGTTCGTACCCGACCCGATAACCCGATTCACTGGGAACCCAGACAACTTCCAAGCAACATAGGTCAAAACATCCACCGGATTCGACACAATCAACAATATACACTCCGGCGAATACTTCACCAGCTCCGGCACAATACTTTTATACATCGCCAAATTCCTCTGCAACAAATTCAACCTGCTCTCCCCCGGGTTCTGCCTAGCACCCGCCGTGACAATACACAGATCCGACCCGGCCGTAACTGTATAGTCAACCGAAGCAACGATTTTAGTTCTCGGAAGGAACGCGGCGGCATGTTGGAGATCCAACATCTCGCCGCGTAATTTATCAGAATTTACGTCGACGAGTGCTAGCTCGTCGACAAGATCCTGAGTAAGGATTGTTTGGGCGATGGCCATCCCGACATTGCCGACGCCGATCACGGAGATCTTCGTGTGGTGGTTCGTCTGTGATGGCGGATCAGCGTTGGAGATTGATTTGAAGAAAACTTGGTTTAGGTCTAGACCATCAAGGCTTAATGGAGATGATGATGACATAGTTGATCAAAAAATGTGTTGTTGATTTTCTGTGAAACTGAAAATATGGAATTTTATTAGAGAGGTTGATGCGATTATGATAAGTATGGAGGAGATTGGGTAATACACAGACTTGGAAATGGGAATAAAGTGATGAAAAGTTGACAACATGGCATTTTTTGAATGGTCTTTGCAAGACTTCGGAAAAAATAGCTCTTTTCAATCTCGTGGTCTTAAATATAAGTTATATCAAATATATGAAAATGTTTTTTTAATTTTGTGATCTAAATATGCTAGATGGAAAGTTGAAATTAAAGTGTTGTTAAAAAAAGAAAAGGAAATGGTTATTCTTTTTTAAAAAGACTTGAAAGAAAGTAAATCATTCTTTTTAAATGAATGGATTATCTTTTCTTGAGTATAATACATAAATATGTAGTTTAACTTGGATTCAACTGAAATCTATGGAAGAGTTTGTCGCCTTTTACGAAGTATGGACTTTTTGAGATCGAATCGTAGCTAGAGTCTTTTTCCAGGTTTAGAAAGACTAGTTCAAAACATATGTTATCTTTGAATATTTGTTACCTTTTATAAATATGTCCATCAATACTTGGATGGATGAATAAAAATTAGCCTAGTGTGAAATGTTTGAGCAAAGACTATTTGTGAAGCAGCCTCGCTCCCATTTTTTCATACTGTAATTAGTTTATGCGGGCTAATTTGACAAAATGTCTTTTCTTTATTTAGTATAACATAATATAACTAGATTAAGAAATGTCTATTCATGAGAATAATTCATTTTTTCTAAATAATTTTCTGCTCATGAAAACAGAAACTTGATTAGTAGTCAATTGCTTTGTAAGAAAAGAATAGAACAAGAGAGCCTAGTAAGTTTTTTAATCCCTTCTTATTGAAGGCATGCCAATAATCTTTCGTGAAAAAGCTAATCCTATATTTAAGGTCGGTGCAAGTTTAGCAAAGTTAAGCCTTATAATGAGGGAAGAATTGAACGTGAAAGGTAGAATTGAACCAACATGTAAAACAATTGAATATGACTTGTCTAGCTAGTGAAAACAACGAACTAAAGATTCAGAGAAATAAGAAGCAAAAACTTGATAAAGAGAAAGCGGAACCAAGATACCACACTAAACTAGGCGTTACCTAGAGCCACACTACTCTTTCTTTTCGATTTCTATTTAATGTCGGATATTTATATTGGAGCTCGAGTATTCCGGAGCAATACTAATTGTAAAAACAGAAACATTTTCTAGTCCAATCGCCACAGCCCACAAGTACCAAAGGGTAAGAGTCGAGGGGGCAATGGAGTCATTAGAAGATTTGGAGCGAATCCAGACCCGAATCCTCCAACGAATAGCAAACCTCGAGCTCTCTCTTCTTCCTACCGGCGGTACTCCTCTCTCCGCCGCCAGTACCGCCGTCGCCGACGTCACCACCACCGAGGACCGCCTATACTCCATTCTCCTCGGGAATGGCGCCAGAGATTTCTGCTTCAAGCGCGTTGCCTCTGATTACTATGATTGGCCTCTCGAAGCTCGTCGTGATGTTCTCGGCGCTGCATCCATTCACCATCTCTGCAAAAGCATTGTTCTGGTACCTCCTATCTATCTTCATTTTTCATGTCTTAATACAAGCATTTGGTATTAATTTCGCAATAGTATTAGGACTAATACAGTCCCTTAAATTAGTCAGTAAATTCTGATTGAGCATCTGAACGATTGATACGGTTTATCTATTGGACATTTTCTATTCGCTTTTAGGATGTTCTCAAGTATTCATTAGGTTAGGTAGATAAGTTGACCACTTATGCATTAGCCTCAACAAGCAGTAAAACCTAAGGTCTATTTGAATTGAGGTTGATGTGTATAATTAAAGGAGATGAGAGATTTTATCTTAACTACCTAATAGACTCTTGATAGCATGCGAGGAGTTTTTCAAAATCCAAATTGAAAGTGTCTAATAGGAACACTCTATCATGTGTTTAGATTCTCAATTTCAACAAGTCATAGTTCCAGCGTCTTAATGACATTAAACAAGTTTAAGAGGTTGTCGATGGTTAAGCCTTTACTTAACTTTTAGGGGAAAAGAAAAAGCTTAAAATCTCTCAGTGTGCAGAAGGACATATCATATCATCAAAACAAAAGTAATAGATCATCTGTTTCAATTTATAACGGTGTTTGATTGGGCACAATGTTTAAGATATTCATTTCAACTTGTGTATATTAGTGGTAGAGGAAGAAAGCAGTAAAACAATAGTTTAAAAGTTAGCTTGTCGAAGAAAAATAACATCAAAGTTTAAGGCTTGAGTAATTTAATGGTTTTGCATTTTTGGAAGTTGGAAAAATGGTTATGAGAACAACCACAGTTATCTCAAACAAAATTTCATTGTACTTGTGCAATTCAATACATGAAATTCTCGTGTTGAAAATGGTTATGATATTGCATGTTCCTTTTCCTTTGTTTTTTGTTGAATTCGGGTGTGTGTGTGGGGGTACACTCTACCCTCCCCAAAACCCAACTTGTGGGAATTACTCTGGGTATGTTGTTGTTGTTGTATGTGCTTTTAACTTTGAAATATCTCGGTGTCTCTTTAGAAGGGACTCTTTCCTATCTTAGTCAAATTTGTCTGCTCAAATGCAGGTAAATACTCAAGCCCCATCTAATATTACTGATTGTAGTGATCGTAACAATTCAAAGTACTATGTCGTAGTTGTACAGGTAACCAATATGCAACTTCAATTCTGTTTTGAGGTCTAGAAATAATATGTACGACTAATCTAACGTTCTTCGTATACTATCATAATTGCAGTATACTGCTAGATTCAATGCTGAGACTGTGAAGAATTTCCTATACACACTCAACGATGGCAACATAGCCAAAAAGAAATTCAACAGTAAGTTCCTTCTCTAAACAGCACATTCATTAGGTCTAGCAGTTAAAGTGATTGAATGAAAATTGAATTGGAAAATCTTAACCCTGTATGAAAATATCGAATTAGAAGTGTTAATTTGTCATACCAAAAAAAGACCTTGCAGAAAAGACCATATTAGTTGTGTAGGCTTTTGATGTATCAATCAAGGAATCAACAGTGCCTCAATCCAAATTAGTTGGGGTTGGCTATAGAAATCCTCTACATCCAATCCCCTCTACTCAGGTAATGTTTGATGTATATACAAACAAAATCAATAACCATAAATGAATCTGCATATGTATATTGCATATTCAAAGTATGTGTTATGTTAAAGTGTAAAGAAGCAATCAATAACATAAATGAGACACGCTTATGTGTATTGCATATGCTTGTTGATTGAAGTATGTGTTTCAACTTTCCACATGACATATTTAAGACCACAAGATTAAAAAACATATTGATACATTCTACGTTTCTTTAATTTCTAAAATTACAAGATTCAAAAGTCTTTTTTACTTTTTTAAACTTTGTGTCAAGTCAAAACCAGACAAACAAATTTCAATGTAGAGAGTACTATATTTTTGGTTGTTGATGTTTTGTTAGAAACATGTACAGATATATGCTCCAAGTTTACGAGTTGTGCCAATATTTGGAGTCACATTATGTTGTACTCTTCATGTAGAATAATATTTGCTATTGTCTGCTTTTTGCAGTGAGACTTGCTCCCGAGGAGACATCAATCAAACTAACTGGTTTCGAACACAATGGAGTTACGTGTGTTGGCATGAAAACAGATATACCGGTATTTGCTCTCTGCTTTTTAGGAACTTTTGTTTAAAGGTTGCCTAGTCCCCCCCCCCCCCTCACCTTCATTATTTTAT